AGCCACTGTCATTGGACTATATACATCCTATGCTGTACCGATTTTTATACGGATAACGTCTGGCCGGGACAAGTTCGTTCCTGGGCCTTTCAACTGTGAGCACCTCCATAAGCATCCGAATCTCCATTATCATTATCAATTTGTTATTAGTAGGAACCTGGGCAACGCCAGTTGGTGCTATTGCTGTTACCTGGGTGACTTTTATTGTCATCCTCCTTTTATTCCCCCCTGGACAACATCCGACCGTCTCAGATATGAGTGCGTTGCCGCTGCTAATTTTATTATCGTTGTACTCACGAGACTCATGTCAGACTACTCTGTGGTAATTATTGCGGGCGTTCTTGTCTTTGCAAGCGCTTCTTGGGTTGTGTCAGCACATAAGTGGTATAAAGGTCCAATTCGGAACATCGATGACTACCCAGAAACAACAACGAACAAAGACGAGCGACCGACTTGGTAGAGTAGTATGTGTGCATAGAAGAAGTAAAGAGTTGCTAGACTTTGTGAGCATGGGAATTTCATTGCATGATTTAAGGTGTCAAATCTCAGGCCGAACCTTTCCAAGGGGTGTCTTCACCATTACGCTTAAGACCTCAAACAAAACCTGAAGAACAATATGTCAGCACTGATTAGCCTAATATAACATGAAACCCACATCGGCCGCTGCCATGGTAGTTAACTTGATAATTCACGAATAAAGTCAGCCCGACGAGAAAGTGAGAATGGGTGACTAAATACCTCGGCACTGGTGTCGTACGCCGGAGCCACCTCGACGATATCAGCGGATACGATATGGAGGCCATCCAGACCTCGCAAGATTGTCCGTAGTTCACGCGTTGACCAACCACCTGTCTCTGGTGTTCCAGTGGCAGGTGCAAAGGCGGGGTCGATGGAGTCGATCTGCAGTGAATGTCAATTATGAAATGGATTGACAATGTGTGCCGTACTATCAGCTACGAACATCAATTGACAAATATACGGGCCTATCACCTACGGTCTTGCGGATTTTCTGGATAATTCCCTCAGTGCCTAGTGATGATAGGAAGTCATCAATCATGTGTTCGTGACTGCAAATATTGCATACCGAGAGTATCAATTTCGCGCGCTTCGATACGCTGGAATCCTGACTCATCATCGTTGGTGTAATCGTCAAGGCTTGAAAGGGTGGTTCGGATGGCCCCGTGCTGTAAATGCGACAAACTAGGATCACATAGCTCAAGAAAACCACCGCAAACGCGGTGAAAAAAATGAAGACGAGACACTTGCAATTGAAGATCCATTTCTGATCAGTCCTTCTTGACTTGCCCAATAAAAGTAGGTGCCGTGATTGATCGTAGCTTGTTCAGTGGGAGCACCGCCAAATACTGAAGGTTTCCAGGTGTCTTGCCACCAAGCATGAGCTATCCGAGGATGTTCTTGGAGCAACTAGATCGTACCAAGATGGGAGTCGAAATGAATCACTGAAATGGGGCCATAAACTGAGTGAATAGAGCGAAGCAGTGGCAAGACAATCGTATGATCGCCACCTAAGCATTCATTCGAGTCATGGTACAGTACAAGGCAGTATCGAGGTTGGGACTCACCTAAGGTGATGATACGAGGGTGATTCTTCTTGTCAAGTGAGATGGGAGTGAGCTCGGTGCCAGAAAGAATATCATTTCCAAGTGGTGAGAATGCTTCACGTTGAAGAATTGCCTTATGACCTTCCTCAATCTGACGAATAGCATGTTTGTTGTCGTACGGGCTAAGACAGTTATCAATAAGAGCGATATAAGGCGTAAAATATGTGTATTATCTCACGTAACAGGAATGTCGCCACAGTCGACGATGCGAAGGCCCGATTTAAAAGGGTTTACTTTCAGAGGAACATTATAGCCTCCGTAAAGAGTCAATCGCCGCGAGCCCTCGCGGATACCAGCTGTTTCAGAGTTAGTAGCCACAATTAAAAAGCGAACTATGCCTACCTGGACCAAACCGTGCGCCAGGGCGATAGCTAGTGCCCGTATCCTGTCAAAAGTCTCATTGATGAGTGTATAGTGTCAGAAGATAACGATGCAACTTACAAACGGAGCGCCAAGGAAGGCAATGTCGAGAGGGACCTCCTGCTGCCTCGTAAGGCATTGAAGCCATGGCAGTTTGGCGAAGGTTGTGATGCCTGAAAAGACTGCGTCTGCAGTGACTAGATTACAGAACAATGTTAATTTATGATGGTAATTACTGAGAAGTAATAGATCAAGCACCTTCACCGTTGAACCCTATGTAGGGCTCGGATGGAAAGCGAACATAATTGAGCGGTATCTGATCATGTTCGGCATGCTCATGGGCAAAAATAGTAGAAAAAATGGGAAGAGTCGCAAGGGAGAAGGCGAGGAAATTCATAGATGATGAAGTGTTGTTCAGAGACAGAACTGCACCTCCAATTCTTAAGAGATAACATTGTGAGAACCAAAGTCGTTAAAGAAAGCATAATACAAAAAAAGCTAGACCCATGACTTTGTATGTTTCCTGTGAAGATAGGACGAATATATGGAGCCCTGGAGGAACGGTGCATCGTGTTTGGCCTCGAGGTGATGAAGCTCCTCACGAGATGCGGAAGGAGGAAACATGACAGAGAATTCCCACTGATATCGGCTATGTTTGCAAGATATGGAAGGATAGGCATTGAGCCTAGGTGGGCGGAGTTCCGCGTAATCTAGATAGATGTAAATGACTGATAGTGGTATGTCATCAACAGAGCCATAAGACAGTTAGTTTTGCAACGAGGCAGAAAAACAGAGAATAAAGAGCTTCTATTAGAACAGTGGTGATGCTGAGAAGCGAAAACATGCCCCAACATTCAGATAACGTAGAGTCGAGGCCTCTGCTGGATACTGCGATCCCTAGCCATGAAATTGTTGTTGGTCCTTCTAGTACCCACAGCTCGGAGAGAGCATCTGGCATGAACCGGTATCTCGAGCCCAATGCTGACCAGTCTCTTCAGGAACATGAATTTAACCAGGTGAAGCCTCCTTCCATGCAGAGACTCGTCTGGTTCATTTTCTGTGATTCAGTACCAGGTGAGTGAATGTTAAGCTCAAAGCAATGGTTGCTGATGGCGGGTTCTTTTCCCACCAATTTGTCGAACTCCACCAACAGTCATTCTTTCTTATACACTCCAAAACTCTGTCCAAACCGCGTCGATCGTCGTTGCAGGTCGGCTCGGCGCAGATGAGCTCTCCGTCGCAGCCTTCGCGCTCATGATCGCGTTCGTCACTGGCGAGTTTATTTTCTCCTCCGTCATTAGGGCGTTGATCCCATAAAGAGCCTTGTTTGCTTTCATGGTAGTGTAGGCTGGTGCGTGGCGCTTGGGGGCACAACCGCCCTTGATACTCTTGGGTCGCAAGCGTTCACTGGGAGTAAGCCAACTGAGCTGTCCGTCCATTTTCAGAGATGCATGGTGCTGCTTTGGGGGTTATTCGTGCCTGTAGGTTTGTTGTGGGCGTGGATTGAGCCTGTGCTGCTGATGCTTGGGCAGCCGGCCAATTTGAGTAGAGATGTCCAGATGTTTTTGAGGGTTTTAACGCTTGGGGCACCCGGGTATATTGGTTTTGAGTCGATGAAGAAATACTTGCAGGTGGAATTGAATTTTTGAATCACTGACGCGGCGTTGATTTTTCCTGTAGTGTCAAGGTCAACAGATTATACAGGCAAAGTATGCAGTGTGACTGATGCGAACGCTTAATATAAACAGGCATCATGGGCGCCTCAACTGCCGTACTCTTAGTCGTGTCTCCCATCAACTTTGTGCTCAACATCTGGCTTATCCACGGGACTTCGCTGGGACTTCTGGGCTCTCCGGTGGCGCTCTCCTTAACATACTGGCTGTGCTTCGTGCTACTGTCTCTCTCAACCGCGATGTCTACCAAACACGCGCAAAATAGTGCATGGGGAGGTTTCCAACCTGATGCTGTGTTTGACATACAAAGTTGCTGGGAGTTCTTGAGGCTGGCGATCCCAGGGATACTGATGGTTGGGACTGAATGGTACATCAGAGTTTCCTTGTCATGAGGTATTGGATGGGTTATTTTATTGATGGTGATGATGTATAGGGCTGCATTCGAGATTGTGGCGCTGGCTGCGGGCCGTTTGGGAGAGGTGCCACTTGCATCTCAGTCGATCATAATGACGACTGATCAGAGTAGGCTCTTGGATACTAATCTTCAGCTCGGTAGATTCTTAATACTTTCCCAGTCCTCAGCACGATTCCGTTCGGTATTGGCGTAGCAGCGACTACGCGAGTTGGTAACCGTATAGGATCACGATCTGTCTCCGGCGCCAAACGCTCAGCCCACGCCTCCGTAATTTTGAGCGTTATCGTAGGGGCGTTTATTATGGTGCTTCTACTGAGCTTCAAAGATGTACGTGTCGATGACCTCTTGCATTTACGTCAATTGAATAGTCTAGGATAGGTTTATGGATATCTCTTCAGTGACGAAGGGGATGTAATTAATCTTGTGGCACTGGTCATGCCTCTAGTCGCATCTTTCCAAATCGCGGATGGTTTGGCGAACTCGTGTGGAGGTGTCCTGCGAAGTCAGCGTGGGTAGTCTACGCTTGGTTATCCTTAATGATATTCATACTTTATTTCCAAACTTTCTTGTAGGACGACAGCATCTTGGCGCGGTGTTCAATTTTATTGCGTATTATATGATTGCGCTTCCTCTTGGAATTCGCCTTGCGTTTTATGCAGGAACTGGTCTTCGGGGATTATGGATAGGCGAGTGTTGTAATGGCATGTGCATGCGAGCCAAAATTGACGCTTGGATGGTCTGCAGGTCAGGTTGTTGGGCTGTTCATAGTTGGCATCGGGGAGCTCGTGGTTGTGTTGAGAACAGATTGGGCTTATGAGACGTCAAAGTGCATTAATTAAATCTAGATCTTTATGGATGTACCATATGCTAAGTAAAATGGGAAAACTTTCGGTGGTCACCAAACGGTGGGGAGGACACGATAGGGAGAAAAGGCACTGCCAGGAATCGAACCTGGGTTTCAAGAATGTGATATGTCAGAATCTTAGAGTGATAACCGCTACACTACAGAGCCTTGAAAATAACAATATCTGTGGCCAGTTGTCATTCCGCAGTCCCAGGTGATATCCGTCGGAGTTTGCCGGTTAGTATATGCAGCACCAGAATTAAGGTTCCGGGTGGCTTTGTTACGTAACTCTGAGTTCGAGGAGAGTTTGGAGGGCAGGCGACTCCATCGACGATATCCTCAAGACCAAGGTGAGCCTGCTCGCTGTCCTGCACGTCGCGCATGCTTACAATTTCACGTAGACCCGACACTGAAGATGGGTGTGTTATTCCAGTGCAGCTGATTCCCGTCGTCTAGGCTAAACCGAAATTTTTGTGCAGTCAATCTCCGGTCGCAAAAGCGCCTCGCCGCGAGCGTCGCCGGCGTCGGCAAACGTAAAATCTGGCTCGACCCCGCTGAGCAGGCCGAGATTGGTAACGCTAACTCGCGCACACACATCAAGAAGCTCATTAAGGACGGCCGTGTGATCATCAAGCCCACCACCATCCACTCGCGCGCACGCACGAGGGCTCTCCTTGCTGCGAAGCGCAAGGGTCGCCACACCGGTCCCGGTAAGAGAAAGGGTACCGCTGAGGCCCGTATGCCCTCGAAGGTTCTGTGGATGCGGAGACAGAGGGTGCTTAGGCGGCTGTTGAGGAAGTACAGAGAGGCTGGCAAGATCGACAAGCACTTGTGAGTTGTTGAAAAATCTCGGGGCTTAAAATTGTGTTGAAAGGCTTATGCTCTGAAGGTACCACTCGCTTTACCAAAAATCCAAGGGTAACGTCTTCAAGAACAAGCGTGTCCTCATGGAGTACATCCACAAGGCCAAGGCCGAGAAAACCCGCACCAAGGTGCTCTCCGACCAGATGGAGGCCCGTCGCATCAAGAACAAGGCATGTATTCCTTGTATCCATGTCTTCCTGTTCATCCTCTTACACAACGATAGGCCGCCAGGGAACGTCGTGCTGCGCGTGTGCAGGAGAAGCGCCAGGGCATCCTCGATGTCGAGCACGAGGCTGCCAAGGAGTAGATTATCGTCGCGTACTCTCTTCTGCTGTCTCTCTCTACATCCCCCTTGCATCACTATCCATGACTCATTCTCTGCCATCCATTGGGCCCGCGATATACGTACGCCTGCCCTCGCCGTCCTCATGTTATGCCAAACCATACGATATGCTAGGAATGAATATGCTGCGAAACAATTTTTTCTCTGGGACTGGCCTTGTGTGATACGTTTCATGATTAATGATCAGCTACCAATGTCTCATCCAGCTCGTTCATGATTAATAGTGATCTGAATTCGATACCTTCCGTGAACAATCAAAACAGATTGTCTCCTTCAATAACAAATAGGAATTAGAGTGTGTATGTAGGCGCATAATGTGCTGATTTGGAGATTCCTATCTCGGTCTCTTCTTGCTCATACTCTCACCTCATGCCAACGCACGTCGCCATCCCCCCACAAGTGACCTACTTCGTTAGGCCACTCGGCAATGGCGAGCCGCGTAAGTTCATCGCGGTCTTGTTCGTCGCGTAATAATTTATCTTACACGAGGCCCTTTCTCTCCGAATTTCCCTATCGTTAGGCCCGGCTCACCTTCTCCAACGCCGGGGCAAAGAAGCCTACGTGCATTACGTGGGCACTGATAAAAGGCTCGACGAGTGGGTAACCGAGGAACGGTGCTTCCTCCCTGCTGCTCCGAGCAGGACAGAACCATATTCACACAGCGTGTACGAGGAGCAGCATCCAACACCAGGTTCTTCGGAACTGCATCCGGAGATACAGCTAGGCGACGATAGTGCTGCTGCAGAGCCTTTGGGACCGAGAGTTGCTGGGCCAAGTTCTCATACTCCGACAACGACTCAAGGCGGGGAAGACGCACAAACGACGATCAAAGGGAGCATATCTGCACCACCGATGGAATCGACAAGCAAGAAGCGAAAACGGGTTGGACGCCCATCGAAACAGAGTACACTTCAACGCGAAATGCGAGACATTGAGAGCGCGTCTGCGTCTCCAGCGCCTGAAGGGGAGCTAGGGACGGTGTTGACAGAGGAGATCGATATGGAACAACATAAGAAGATTACTGCACAGAGGAATTTTGAGAATGTGAAATTTGGGGAGTGGCAGGTCAAGACTTGGTGAGTTCACTCTCTCCTACTTACGTGAAAGATCGAACCTCATATTTTTGGGTATGAACTTAGGTACTTCTCCCCATACCCTCTAACCGAAACTGAGCTCGAGGACCCCGTTACGGCGCCAGAAGCGAAAATCCCTGGCGTACAAAAGACCACGGCACGTTCACATGGGCGCACGTCGGATATCCTTGCAGGTGGGCTCGGACGTAGTGCGACAGCTGGGTCGGAGAAGGCACAGCTGTGGGTGTGCCAGCAATGCTTCAAGTACATGTCAGAGGGGACGTCGTATGACTTGCATGTCAAGTATTGTAATGTGGATTACCCGCCGGGGAGACGGGTGTATCAGAGGGGTGCACATTCCATTTGGGAAGTCGATGGCGCAGTGCAGAAGGTGAGATCGTTGTACATTCTTTGAGTCATTGCAACGCCTGACGGTAGGGGCAGTTGTATTGTCAGAATTTGGCACTGTTCGGGAAGCTGTTCATAGATGTCAAGACGCTTTATTTCGACTTGGATAATTGTGAGCCTTTCACCCGCCCATAGCCCACGGCCATCGGTTCTAATAGACCGCAGTCCATTTCTACATCCTCACGGAGAGCACATCAAAACAAGATCATATGCTTGGGTACTTCTCTAAGGTAGGCCCCTTGGTGTGCGATATGTAACGTTCGTTTGTGTTCTGACGTTTGAATAGGAGAAGAATTCGTACGACGACTATAATTTGGCAACTATTATGACACTTCCACCGTACCAGCGCAAAGGCTATGGAATGCTCATGATTGAATTCAGTGCGTCGTGAACCCTCTACAGTGTTTGGAGTAATGCTTATGTCGGGGGAGGCTACGAACTTTCGCGTCGCGCCGGAAAAGTCGGCACCCCCGAGCGCCCGCTTTCCGACCTTGGCCTCAGGAGCTATCTCGCATATTGGGTCTCAACGCTTGTCCGTTTCTTCCGGTATGTCCGTCTGTCTTACTGACACTCCCGCTTTACCCACCATCCTCCTCTTCTCAGAACGGTGCTATCAACTCTTCCTACCGACACTATGCGCATCGAGCATTATGGCAGATTCCCGGGCATCGAGCGCACGCCGTCGGGCGATTCAGAACCAGATAGCGGGAATGTGAGTGGGGCAAATAGTAATATGGGGAATGGGAGCAGCGTCAATGGAAATGGGAATGTGAATGAGACAGATAATGGACCGATCAGTTCAAATGGGAATGGTTTGAAGAGGAAGAAACCTAAGAAATCGAAGGGGTGGGCGGGCGAGGTGGAGGACGCATGGCCTGAGTCGGATGATGTGCCGTTTTATACTACTGGTAAGCAAACACTCTATTGCCCTTCGGCACTTGTGATAGACTAGCATCATGGACCATGATAGATCCGATGTTCACGACTGACCGAAAGCTCGTGACACACGCCAACGAGGACGGGAGCGCGACGACGCATGTCGTGCTCAACTGTACCCTTGCAGACATCGCGCGCGCGACAAACCTCCGTGTGGATGATGCAGCGTTTGCATTGAACGAGGTTGGGATGCTGGCTATGCGGATTGCGGCGGCGGAGGGGACGTCGGCTCCCGATATTCAGGATGGGACTGTGCTACTGACCAAGGTGATGATTGAGAAAGTCGCGAAGGAGAGGAATGTGAAGAAGCCGTGCATGCGTATGCCGTATGTTATTCTTTAAGTGTCGCTATAGTTAGCGCCTTTTTGAACAGGATTATGTATGGCTTAAGCCCTCTCCTAGCCTTTGTTCGAAATTCATTTTTTCCCTTTTTTGGGACCTTCGCAACCATTCACCTTTTTTGCTTTAATGCTTCTTTGAGGAAAATTTGAGGAATCAGTGATCGAATATGATTGAATGAATAGTCGATGACTCGAGAGGCAGCATGCATGAATTGCGCCACAATGCCTTAACCAAAGCGACGAGGGCGTCCTGCATCCATAAAATATCATGGCGCTGTAGTGTAGCGGTTATCACTCGAGATTCTGATCCTTTGATTTCTCGAAACCCAGGTTCGATTCCTGGCAGTGCCTTTTTCCTACTCGGCGTAAAAGTGGGTTCCAAGGGTAAGGAGCTTTTTCGAAGGCCTCTGCTACCCTTGGCGTACAGCGTCGGTCCCGTCGTAGGCGCGCAAGCGCCATCTCCTGGCGGGCCCTCTGCCATCTCCGAGTCCTGGGTGATCCGTGCGCGGTGTTCCAGTCGGGACCGAGGCTGCGTCGCGGATCGGATACCTGGTCTCACCTACTGCCGTTGCTCGGTACCTCTCCACCACTTGGTCGCAACGGTGAGCACATTTGCTGCTCTCTCCCCAGCGTATCGCTGATGCCTCTTTAACAGAGTAGTGCTATATCTCATATTTGTTCTATCACACCATTCGACGCACT